GATCTTCTACCAAATCAGTGCACACCTGTGTCAAAGCCACCTTCAATGTAAGAAAGTGAAAAAAATAGAAGGATGGATGCTAGAAAATAAAAATTACAACATAACATGACTGCATGATTTGTTGTTGTTGTTATTATTGCTGATTAAAAGTACTATTGTCATATTTAATTAAATAAAAAAAGAAAATAAATCAAGTATTTAGGAAAAATTTTTTTTATTTTACATTACATTTATTATTGTTATTATTATTATGCATAATATATTAAGCTTTCTGTAACTGTAATATTGGCAAACACTGATGTGGTCCCCAATATTTTGTATATCTCTTGTTTTATTGTGTAATACTGTTATGTCTTCCTCAGGCCTTTAATAAGTGTAAGCGGGAAGGCTTCCAACTCCAGACGGTTGACAAGGCTCCTTTGGCCAAACGCAGGAAGATGAAGAAGACCAGCACTAGCACAGACACCCGCAGCAGCTCCAGTGAGAGCACGCACTCATCATCCTCTTCCTCCCAGTCTCAGGATAAGACGCCTCCAGGCGGAGAGACAGCCATTATCCCCCAGGCCTCCGTGAGCACACCTCTCACTCTGGGCCCTGACGATGAGCCCTCACAGAGCGAGCCCCAGCCTGCCTTCACCATTACAGAGTGATTTCTGAGAAACAAACAACAGGATAGGTTACGTAATTCTCCCACCATTCGTTCTCCTCACGCTCTGGCAAGGTGTACAACTCCAGAATTTGCATGCGGGGACCAACTCAAATCCACCACTAGCAATAGATGCACACCATGAGCATTGAAGACAGAGCTTGAGTGAACTTCTGGTTCTAGTCCCGCATGGCTAAAACTCACTGCATCCAGTCCAGTGTCTCAAACAAGAGGGAGAACTTCACTTTGAGGAGCAACAAATCCTTCCACTGATGGAGAAAAGGAAAGTCTGCTTCTGCAGTGTCCTGACAGACCAGGCACTTTGCTTCAGGCAAAAAAGGAAAGGGATATGTATTTTAAAAGAATATAAATATAATTTATTTAAGAGGACATTTATTGTTTATACAGACTTCTCTCAAATTTGGTATATCATAGAATTCAGTATATACATTTTTTTTTTTAAATGACAGCTCCATTTGTGCTGGGAGCTTTGTGGTATTGATTCACATATCTAACTTAAATCTTTGGCTTCTTCCAAAAGATTTTACTGAAGTAGCAACAATTAGGTGTAATAGTTTCCGTGTGAACATTTCATTGTAAAACTCGTTAATTACCCTTTGCAAGGTAAAAAAGACGGTTTGTTTCATATTGACCTGTTATTTGAATTTTCTGTTGAGATCCTTTCCTCAGGTTATTTATTTGTTTATTTAAACTTGAACTCATTTTTTAAGAATTGAAGGTGCGGTCACATTTACCTTTGCTCTTAGAATTTTTGGGGGCGAAATCTAGTTATGTCACAATTAGAAATTTTGCATAGGAGCGAAAGATTTCCCCACGCAGATTTTGCATCAGGTTCAGTTTTTTCACACAAATTTGTTACATTGACCAACAAGAAGCTGCTTGGTTTGAAAGTGACTTCTCTGTGAGCATTACTTTGTGCATTGCTACAATATTGATAGTGGACAATCGACATTTTTTGGTTTATCGCTGAAATTGAGGTGTTGCTTTGGATGTTGTTTTACTCGGACACTTCGTCACTCAAGGTTTTATGGCCGAGTATAAGTTTAAACGGGGATTGAATCTGCTTAAACTCAACATGCAATCAAATTTGACTAATTTTTTAATTTTAATGCACCAGATTCTTTTGTAAACTTGGCACAAACCAAAATGTAATGACTCTTTCTTCCTCTGCAATGACTTTCTTTTTCCTGTGGCATCACAAAGGCCTCTCAGGCAATTGGATAACGCTACCCTGTAGCTAAATGGCCCTTTTGCCATAGTTTTAGCAAACTCGCATTCAATCTGGCTCACATTCAATGTAGTGCTGCCTACTCTTTTTAATGATCCAATCTGCATCCAAGAATGCCTCATATGAGAGGAAGAAATTGGGTTTTGATTCATGCTGACTTTAAGCGTCTGCAAAGCCTAATGACACGCTTATCTTACAGAAGATAAACATGACTGCAGGGCCGCATTTTAGCCTGAAATGAAGTGATACGCCAGCTAAAAGACATCTGTGGTTTCCTGTTTGATGGTGGCATGTTGTGTTTTTGGCCCGGTGTTAGATGCATTATGCTTTAAGACTTGCTGCGGCAGAGTCTGTGGTGTTAAAAACCGATGTGCTTGCATATTTTCTTCTCAGTATTATCTGTTTCACAAGCCTTGGTGGTTTTGTGACACTAAGGTGCAGCGTTGCAGAACTCAAGTCGGAGTCTACCATATTGTCAGGAGCATTTGGACTCAGCCTGGACTCTTGAGTCCAAATCCAGTCTTGTCTGGACTTGAGTACTACACTCTTGAAAATAAAAAGGCCATGCCATAGACGAACCATTTTGGATTCTCCAAAGAACCTTTCAGTGAACAGTTGCTAAAATAACAAGTCTGAAGAACCTTTTTCCTCTATAAAGAATTTTAGAATGCAAAGGTTCCATGGTTGTTAAAGGTTCTTCAGTGAACCATTGATGCCAATAAAGAACCTTTAATTTTAAGAGTGTACAACACTGCTGAGCTGAATATGTGGTTCTCGGTGTTTGTGTTTTCTAGCTGGTGGAGGCATGTTTACAGTTGAAAGGAATGATTTTCTCTTTGGCCTAAACGGCCATCTGTATTATTCAAAGCATTTTGCTAGGATGTTTGACATGGTGTCATTCATATCTTGCAAGCTCTACAAAACTATTTGAAAGGCACTTGAACTCTACATTGCTATGCAAAGTTATTTTCTTCATTCTTATGTTTCTGTTCGTATCCTGAAAGATCTTTATGCATTAGAAAATAGTGAGTATAAGCAGTGCCTCATCAGGGCAAACGTAACTGCCATTTTTAGGGACAGACGCAAGGTTCTGGTCTCCAAGTAAATCATGCATTCCACTTCCTGGGCACTAACCAAGACGAGACATCCCATCATTGAGCTTTTAAATGGCGAGGGCTGGATTGGGACCCAGCGGCGGGTATGCATGCTGGAACGCACACACTCAAACACACATAAACTGGTGCTCCTGCCCACTCAAACCCGGGCAAAGGACAAGAGCAATAAGAACAGTTGGAGCTCGGCTCACTTTCATGTGGCTGAAAGCTGCTGCGTTCGGCCTCTTCCCCATCACCGTTCTCCCTGAAGCTCCCTCATTACTGGCTCCTTTTGTTTGGGTGTATTAATAGAACGGGAATGAGGGGAGGCAGAGAGAGTCCTACATTGAACTCTCCTCTGGGAGTGAGGCTTTATTAGATGGTTTGCCTCGCTGCTGTTTGTCCCACTGGCTCCCTGCGTCTAATCACACAAACATGGAGCTTATTTTATGGTTTGATATGTTTTTAGGGGTTTTTCCTCTTGTTTTAGCTGTTAAGAGATTAAGGGCCAGACGTGGGTTTTCACGTTTTAGCATTTATAGAAGCGTAGTGAGCATCGGCCCTTAAACTGAACGCTCTCCTTTGATCTGTGCACCCTATTTTAGTACTTGTAAATCGTGTTGTCTGCCCATCCATTAAGTCTGTCATTTACTCACCCTCAAGTTGTTCCAAACCTCAAGTTGTCTTTTTTTCATTGAGTGTAAAAGAAGATATTTTGAAGAATGTTGGGAACCAAGCAGTTGATGGTAGCCATTGACTTCCACAGTATGGAAAAAAGTTACTATGAAAGTCAATGGCTACCGCCGTCAACTGTTTGGTTAAACACATTCTTCAAAACATCTTCTTTTGTGTTCAACAGGACAAATAAACTCATACAGGTTTGGAACAAGTGGAGGGGGAGTATATGATGGCAGAATTTAGATTTTTGAGTGAATTATCCCTATTATTTGTTTAATTGCATGGAAACTTGTTCCCTTTCTGTTTCATGATATCTTTAGTAGATTTGCCTTGTTTTAAAGGTGGCTATGCTTTAGATGTTAAAGTCAAACTTTGAAAGTTCAAAACTGTCATTTGACACTTAAAAAAGGCAAGCAGCCTGTAATTTTTGCATTGACTAAAAAAGTGGCTAGGGGTAGTTGACAAATAACATGGTCAAGAACTTTTGTTTTTTTCAGCATCAAGATTTTAGGTTCAAATGTAATTTGTGTATGTATATCAGTGGTTCTCAATCAGGCGGTCTCAGAAGAATTCCAACTGAGCCTCAAGATGGCTTAATATTAAAACAAGACAAATTATTTATAACAAGACAAACCAAGCATTAAAATAAACCAAAATGAAAAAAAGTATATATTTTTATTTTATTTTAATGGGGAACCAGGGTTCCCACTGTCTTCAAAAACATGCATATTAGGAATCCTAATTTTAAAGTGTAGGTTTTAGATGTGGAAAATTCATGTAAATTAATACAATTTTAAAACTCCTTGGGTATTTTAATAATAAAATTCACATTATTTTATCAGATAAAAAATTTAGTAAAAATATATTTACATTTTATTTTTTCCTTGATCAATCATGAACATCTGAAAGGTCATGGGGCCTTAAGTTGTTGTGGATATTTGGGTCTTGGAGTCAAAAATCTTGAGAACCACTGTATTATATATTATATATTAATTATATCAAATTTTAGATTTTGTTTCCCTGTTCACTTCAGTTGTACTGCAAATTAATATTTAAAAATGACACAATTCTCTCAATTAAGTTTAAAACAGCATGCAATTATGATTTTTAAGAAACAATGTTGTTTAAAATAGTTTTAGATTATGTGTAGCACATCACACTGCAGAGCACCAATATCAGTGCTAGAAATATCATTCCAGCTGCCCAACTACAACTTTTTACTGGTCAACATACACTACCATTTAAGGTCAGTAAGATATATATATCACAGTTTTCACAAAAATATTAAGCAGCACAACCTATCTCAACACTGATAGTAATAGTAAATGTTTCTTGAGCAGCAAATCAGAATATGTAACATATTTCACATAAAAATGTCACTAACCCCAAACTTGAATATAGCCATCCTTATTGGCTGTATGCCTGTAATTCCGCTTTTGGCTAATGTGACTGGACAAACAATCATTTTGTGAAGTTTGTTGTCCCTGACACAAAGCTTTTATTCTAAAACCTTGATGTTGCATTGAATATTTATACAGTGTTGTAAAACAAACTTTTGACAGTTTTAAATGGAATCCGTAACATGAAAACAGACTCTGTACATTGTTTTGATGCGAGTGTCTCCCTCTCTGACCTGTTTCCTTTCCGAAAGCACCTGTGCATGCGATGCCTTGAATGCCACAGTCTCCGCTCAGCCTGAATCTATAGAAAGGGGGGGTTACAAATGAATAAATGACATATCTGTTTTATTTGACCAAAGTCGTTATTTGTAGCAGTGACACTTAATGTAAAATTTCAACAAACACCAAGCTTTAACTTTCTTTGTTGTGAAGTCGTAAAAAATCTGTTGATTTGGTTAGGCTTTTGTCCATGTGCTTCTGTTTTCCAGCATTACCTGCTGTGAAACACATTTATAAATGTAATTCTGTATGTTATAAGAGTCATATTAAGAAGCATAGATTACTAGCACAATTGATGTGCTAGATTTCATTAGATATTTTTCCTCCCGTCTGCCATAGAAATGGACCTTCATGGCACTTTCCACAAAGCCACCAAAAAAGCGTAATGCAAAATGTATGTCATATTACGTGCTTCTACTGTTCATGGGCTTAGGGGATTTGATAGTGTAACTGCCAATAATATATGTGTGGTGTTTCAGCAAATTCAGATGTTGATTGTGATGATCTAAAAACATCTAAAATTGAAATGTTTTGCAAAGCCGCTTAGTTTTGAAATATCTATTTTTGCATTTTGTTGTGCAGTTGGCCCAGCACATGTTGCATTAAATTGCAAAGGGAGTTTTGAGTAAATGGATTTAAAGGGATTTGTGAACTTTCACAGACTCTCTTCCTCCTAGTGTGCAACCAAACGCTGCCACCAAGGGGTGCTGTTTACACAGTTTTATGTTTGTGTTCATGGTCATTTCAACTAGTGAAACTTGATTATGGGATGTATATAAGAGCTTTCCTGTCTCTAGACTCTGTATTAGTCTTTACTGTGCACTAGATGTTTAATATGTAGCCATTACACGAAGACCTGAATATCTTATCATAAAAAATTATCTAGCTGGGCTAGAGTTTTTCCTCATATTAATTTATTTAAATTGAATTATTATTAAACATATAACGGATAAAAGCACCAAAATAAAGTCCTATTTATAGTGCGTTTGAATGCTATGTATGTATTTTGTAAGTGCTAAGCCATATACTTCACCACACATGACACTGAACCCGGTTGGCGTGTCCTTGTTTTCAAGATTATATTCTTTTGAAATATCAGTCCATTGTGTTGATACAAATGCGAATTGGAGTGTCTTGCATGAGTGTTTTAGTCTCAGATGAGTTGAATCAACTCTGGTCTTGTTAGCAGCTGTTTCCCCATTTGTTTTGTAATTCAAAATATGTTTGAGGTGTTAATTAAAAAAAATAAGGGCTTTGAAGTTTTGAATACATATCTTATTGAACAAGAGTAATATAATTTAAATAGTCACAAATGGAATAAACCCTCTAAATTCACAAAAATGCTCGTGTGTTGTGTGCATTTATTCTGCTGTTTTGGTAAGAACAAAAACATCTTTCTGTTTTTAGCTTATATTATGTTCTCAGTGGCTACAATAATGTTTTATCCATATCTTCTTCATTTATTAAAAAAAGAAAGAAAAAAAAAATCTTACAGAGCTCAGTTGGAAGTCCATGAATATATTAAGCCTTTGATTGTAATGTTTGATTTATTTTTACAAAATGACAATCAGGCTAATTTTATGGCTTTCTTTTTTTAATGGCTTTTTAAAAAATATTGTATCTTTCAAAAGACACCACCACAATAATAACAGTAATAATAATTACATTTGTCAGAAAAAAGTGAAATATTAAATGTTTTTGCTATTTATGTATTTTATTATTATTATCATATTTCTTGCATGTCTGAGCAGGAAAAGTTTTGAGGTAGAGATAGTCTGACTTTTGGGGAACTTGAACATGTTATGATAAACTCATTAAGCCATGACAGAGTGTATATTAATGGTTGTCATAATGTACATCAAAATATGTGTCAAAGCATCAGAACCTGCCATTAGGAGTCTTTCTTACAACAAGTAACTCGTGAACAAAAAGTCAAGATTATATAACCAAATAGATTTCACTAAAGTTACTAGATTCAAAGCAGTGAAGCAGAGATCCATCATTTGAAGTGTTGATTTGAGCACAGATGGCTGTATCTGAGTTACAAGCTCCAAAACGCAATGAACAGGACAGAAAGCAGAAAGGGCTTGGGGTCTTAAAGTGAGAGGTGTTGAAGTGTCACTGGCGGGAAATACAGGAATTATGCACGGGACCTACATCTCCTATTGTCTCCAAATTTTGACCAGGCTGCCCTGGCGAGCAATGATGGGACTTTTCTTTTCTTCTCCAGCTCGGTCCCGGGGCCCTTCCCTCCTGTTTGCCCGGCATTCCACTGGGCCACCAGAGAAGCTGCTTTAGAGACGGGGATGCTCGCTCCTGGGTGGCCTCTTGTGCAGGGGGCTGCAAAGGGGAGGAGACGATGTCTTATTAATTGACTGGGTGTCTTGGAAGGAGTGTAGGAATTTGGCTGCGGGAGTAAAAGGAGAGGAAAGACTGCCTCGCAGCTTAGCCTGGACCTCCTACTCAATCATAAATGTCAACTAGATATTTACATTTTCTGGAGAAAAAAAAATGGAAGCGGTGCTGGCAAGTGCAAAAGTCAATGGCACAATACTATGGTGTTGTGGATGGTTGCTAGGACGTTGCTGAGTGGTTGCTAAGGTGTTCTAAATGGTTTCTTACTGCGATTGTTAGGGTGTTCTGAGAGGTTACTTACTAGCTCAAGCCTAAGTTTCTATGATTTCCACCCCCACCCTCCAAAAAATGCTTTGTCAGGTGAAAATAAGTACACACACTTAGAAGGGTTCTCCCATACCAAATATACCGTGACAGTACCATGGTACAGTGATAGTATCAGATGGGAATAAGTCAATAACAAAAAAGAGTCTTATTAGATCCTCAAAAAAAATCTTTTGAGGATCTAATCTACGTGCCAAGTTCGTAGAAATACACTCTTAAAGTTTTTTGTGGTTGTGAAAAACACCACAGAATAATAAAAAATCAAATATGCAATTTTTAACCAAAATTTTAAATGGTTCCTATATGCTTATGCATGTTGGTCGCACCACATGACTTTAATTTGGCTGACAAATGTTTTTCAAATGTTTGGAATATTTCAACAAAATTGCTTCCTTGTGTTTTTTTTTTATAATGATCAAATATTATGCCAAACTAGTCAAAAAGGTTTTCTTTTCATGAATTTCAACCTTTTAATGAAACATTTTTTCTACATTATGATATCTGCATATACGCTACCGTTCATTGGGCCAGTAAGATTTTTTTGAAAGAAATTAATACTTTATTCAGCGAGGTTGTAGCCTATTAAATCATTCAAAAGTGATTTAGAGGAATTTATGTTTCAAAAGATATATATTTCAAATAAATACTTCTAAAATTATTTTATATTCTATTACATTATAAAAACATGAAGCTGCACTACTGTTTTAAACATTGATAATAATAAGAAATGTTTCTTGAGTACCAGATCAGCATATGTGACCCTGGACCACAAAACCAGTCTTAAGTCGCTTGGGTATATTTGTAACAATAGCCAAAAATACACTGTATGGGTCAAAATTATCGATTTTTCTTTTATGCCAAAAATCATTAGGATATTAAATAAAGATTATGTTCCATGAAGATATTTTGTAAATTTCCTACCGTAAATATATCAAAACTTAATTTTTGATTAGTAATATGCATTGCTAAGAACTTCATTTGGACAAATTTAAAGGTGATTTTCTCAATATTTAGATTTTTTTTGCACCCTCAGATTCCAGATATTCAAATAGTTGTATCTCAGCCAGATATTGTCCTATCCTAACAAACCATACATCAATGGAAAGCTTATTTATTCAGCTTTCAGATGAATTATAAATCTCAATTTCGAGAAATTTACCCTTATGACTGGTTTTGTGGTCCAGGGTCACATATTCGAACGATTTCCGAAGGATCATGTGACACTGAATGATGCAGAAAATGTAGCATTGCCATCACAGGAATGTATTATACTTTAAAATATATTAAAACAGAAAACAGTTCAAGTGTAATAATATTTCACATTATTACTGTATCTTTCATTAAATAAATGCACCTTGGTGAGCATTAGAGGTTTTTTTCCAAAAAATCTCACCAACCCTAAACTTGATCAGTAACTGATATTTTTACTTAATGCAATTCAGAAATGGAAAACATATCACGGAAGAGGTGTATTCAAGTCTCTGTACGTAAGAATAAAATTTGTAAATGTAGTTTTAAGTAAAGTAGTAGATCCGGACCAATAACTATATTTATCTATCATACTTCAATACACTGTATACTATACACTGTACCAGGCAAAATGTCCCATTTTTGGTATTTTCTATCTTGTTCAAATCCCTAACCCTAGTGATGCTTGCCTTTTTCCATATTCACAAGTTTTGACTATCCACTTTAAAAAAAAAGAGAGAGAAACCTGCGTGTGAACGGTGACTGTGATTTGAAAAGAAGCAGCAGAGGTTTGCGTGGAGTGGGATGTGGGAAAGGCCCGTTCAGGTTGGAGTGCTCCTGGAGGCTCTGAATAGGCCTGCTGTGGTTGAGTGTGTCAGTGGGATGTGATTGAGTGGGATGTTCTCAGGGTACGGCAGGAGGGACAGATGAGGGGAGGTTTGTAGGAGTGCAGTAGCTACCAATGTGGTCTCCCCCCTCCCCAACCTTCACCATCAGTGTCCAGAGCTGTAATCCTGTTACATGTGTCCCCATTAGCTCCGACGGGAGCCTCTATTGTCTCCTTGTGAGTCGGTCAGAGTCACCATCCAGGCCTCTCCATATTTGCTCTAGCTTCCCACACCCAGCTGTCCCCTTGGCAACCCCTCAAACACAAACACACACTAACTTTAAGACCACGTCTGTGGGTCGCAGGGTGAGGAGTGAGATGAAACGTCGCTCAGCAAGAGTTTGAACTCATAGAAATAGAGGACTACGCATTTAGTGACCTTTTACCAATGTAAGGGAAAATATCAAAGATTTGTGACACCACTGCCAACTCTGTTGGAGATTTTTATGATAGTTAACGATACACAATTCCACTTTTCTCACAGCTGCTAACAAAATATATGCAATATTGGTTTGCATTTTGAAACTAATGAACTAATTTTGAAACTAACTTGAAATCATTCAGTCTAGCAGAGCCATGCCTGAAAGGAATTGCATAAGAAATCATATCAGTGATTATTGTTCATATACTTACATATAAGATACATTTTTTTTCCTTTTATTCATTTGAGGGCTAGTAATACCATGGTATTCTTTGAAGAATATCTACCATGTAAGTTTCACAGCACATGCAAATTGGACATTTTCTTATATTCTTACATCATTTTCATCATCCTAAATCCTTTATTTTATGAGAATGACCTGCTGACTACATTTTCCCACTTATTACTTGGCTACTTTTAAAACAAATTCATTAAAAGGACACGGATATCAGTTTAAATTCTATTCATGAAATCATCCTGAAAAAAACGCAGCACAGCTGTTTTCAACATTGAGAATAAAAAGAAATGTTTCTTGAGCAGCAAATCAGCATATAGATGATTTATGAAGGATCATGTGACACTGAAGACTGGAGATTGCTGAAAATTCAGCTTTGCCATCACATGAATAAATTACATTTAAATTATGTTCAAGTAGAAAACAGTTATTTTAAATTGCAGTAACATTTCACAATATTACTGTTTTGACTGTATTTCTGATCAAATAAATGCAGCTTTGGATGCAGCATAAGATACTTTTTTCAAAAACAATAAAAAAACCTTACAGACTCCAAACTTCTGTATAAATAAATATACATACGTACGTGTGTGTGTATATATACTGTGTATATATATATATATATATATATGTGTATGTGTATGCATATATATAAAATATGGACATTAGGATTCCAGAAAGCAGTAAAATGTGAATACGTGAATCTCGCTCATGAAGAAAGTGAAGTTTGTAGATTGTTTGAGTCTGTCTCCTCTGTCCACCCTACAGATCCATCATGCTGTTGATGGAAAGCTAGACAGACAAAGCCAACCCAGACCTGGTCACCACAACAACCTCCCTGTGCTTCCTGTGACTCAACACAAAGCCTGCACTCATGCAGACACACAGCAAAATATCTAAAAAGTTTCACATTGCTTTCATTTTCTTTACTACAGATAAATATTCACATAAAAAGCGATGCATTTAATCAGAATTAGCCCATTGCTCTTTTATGAGTTGGTGTTACAGCATCAGTGAGGACAGCAGTGTAAACCTGTTGTGCTTTCAGCTTCTCTTTATGTCTCTGTGCATGTGGATTTTAGTGTCTACCCAATTGGAATATATTAGCCATGTAATTTGAGGTCAACAATTTCACTGATCCATGCCATGAATTTGAATGAAAGTCATTTGTGTGGACTCTGGTGTTGTTTTAAGGAGTTTGGGCCCCTGGAGGACGTGACAGCCAAATCTAAAAATATTATTATAGATTATTAAAGTGTGCATTTGACAATGGCTTGTACAAAAAGTACAAGTCAGTCTTTACTAGAACCTTTTATGCAACAACTCTGCCTTAAAAGAGCCTTAAAGGGATAGTCCATCCAAAATGTAAAATTTTGTTGTTGTTCCAAACCTGTATGGCTTTCTTTCATTTGTGGAACACAAAAGAAGACATGTTGAAGAACGCTGTTAACTAAATAGTTTCGGTTCCCGTTGACTTCTAGTGCATGCACTCTTAAAAATAAAGGTGCTTCAAAAGGTTCTTCACAGCGATGCCATAGAAGAACCATTCTTGGTTCCACAAAGAACCATTCGGTCTAAGGTTCTTTAAAGAACCATGTCTTTCTTAACTTTTTAAAATCTGAAGAATCTTCTTTTGCCACAAAGAGCCTTTTGTGAAGGTTCTTTATGGAACTATTTAGACAAAAAGGTTCTTCTATGGCATCGTGAAGCACCTTTATTTTTAAGAGTGTGGGCAAAAAAATACAATGGAAGTCAATGGGAACCGAAACTGCTTATCTACATTCTTCAAAATATCTTCTTGCATACAGGTTTGGAATGATATGTGGGTGAATAAATGATGACAGACTTTTCATTTTTGGGCGAACTATTAAGTATCATCAAGAGGGAAAGTTAATCAACATTGATTAGTAAGAGTGTTTGGGGCTCACCAAACTTCGCTGGAGTTTGTTTATTGTGACTGCGTGTGTGAGTGTGACAGCGATGTGTGTGTGGTTGTGTGTGTCTGTGCCCTCTGTGATCTGAAGTACTTTCCGGTTACCATGACAATAGTGCTTGCTGAGGGTTCGGAGAACAATCACCTGTGAGTTGCTATGCTGGCCGTTGAGGTCTGTGCAACCTTTGAGAGAACAATTGCGCCACTATACTATATATTTTTTTCAAAACGTACGAGCCTCGCACAACAAGCTTATTTTTTCAATGGAAACATAAAATGTGCTGTACTGTAGTACATTATGTTTTTTACAGACAGGAACACAAAATAACACATCTTGAACAGATTGTGCACACCATGCACATCACAGCACAATTTATTTTGTTCACAAACACTTCCACAAAATCAGAAAACACCAAAAATGAAACAACACACTGCCGAAGTTCCGTTTACTGTTCATTTCTGTTCAGACCCCTTTTGCATCATGTAATAAACGCCGCACACTTTTTGCAAATTACCAATTACTCTCTTGAACAGTCACCCTTCATTTTGACAAAACTGGACGGCGCTCAACGCCTGTCTGTGGGGCTTGTTGAGACCCAGTCTCTGGCCCCTAAATGCTGGGTTGAGGGTCTCTCTCTTCTGACCTCATTTGCAATGCTAATGGTCAGGAGACAGCTGCCATCTTACACGGAACATGGCCTCTCAGAATTTCCCAAAGGGGGGAAAGAGGAATAAAAAAACAAAGGCAGCCGATAAATGGGTTTGCCTATTATTCCCTAGGCCTTGTGTGCACTGGGTCCTTGAGAACATGAATTTGAATGACAGTCAGCGATAGAGACAGAGAGCGGCGTGGTAAAAAAGCAAAGATGTCAATATGAATCTATAATATCGAAAAACAAAACACCGAAAAGTACCATTTTTTAAAAGCGTGCGAGTTGAGCTCATCAGCAGAATGCTGTTTTAACAATAGCAAATAGAGAGAGCTCTTAATTTAGCCCTCATTCTCTCAGTCACTCAGCCCCGCTCCCATGCAGACTATAAGTGTCTCTGTGAGTGATTGCGCGAGCTCTCGCCGAGTGGAGAACACTCGTGGATATTGTAGCGAATATGTGCATATCTGTCAGAATGCCTTTGTGATATCAGCGGCGGAAATATCTCCATTTACTTCTGCTCATCAGAGTTAGAGATGGCCACAATACTCCAGCTGAAGGTTAATGGCTCAATGCGCCTCGTGCCGCTTTTGCTAAACTCTCTTTCTTTGGCTTTAAGGGATGTCCAGTCATATAGTGAATGGCACAGCAATCAATAAAACAGTGATTTGTGAACTCTGTATTGTCACTTGTATCGGCTATGTATTTGTTTAACATGATCTATGGGCTATTATCATCACAACAGGAACATGAAGTTGCTGTTTTGTTCAATTCTGTACATAATTGATTATAATTTCACATGTAGATATGTGTTTTGTAAAATGGAAGAAAACACATTCAATTAGGCTGCATCTGAATATGCCTACTTTCCTGGTAAAACAGTATGTGAAAAAGTCGTATGTCCGAATTCACAATATTCATAAAACTATAGGCAAAAAGTACCCGGATGACCTACTACTTCCTGTGTGATTCTGAATTGAGAATTCAATAGACACTTTTATATCCCATGAGGCACTTTAGTAGCCCATGCCATGCACAAGTTCTTTGGGAGAGGAGTTGTGAATGGTAGTGGTAACTCTGATGCCAAAAGTCACTTGATAATGACAACATGACACTTTTTTAATGGTCGAGAAAAAAATACCTATTCAAAAGAAGTACTTACTCAGAAAGTATGCGATTTTGGATGCAGCCTTAGTTTTTTTTTCTGTTGTTCCACCGGCTGATAGGGTTCTTGAAATTTATACTGACACCTATTGGTGTGGATGCAGCATTACGCAAGTATTTACTAATATACTTTTCACATTATGTTTGTCACATGATAATTTTTTTAAAGTCCACAAAATGTATAGGGTGTTTAGAGATAGAGTACTATTTGGCTAGTCATGTGATCTCAACATGGCTGCCACCGAGAGGTGACAAAAAAAAGTAAAACAAAACAAAGCCTTTTAAGGCCACTGAGACTTCCTGTCATGAGAGTGCAATTGTTGATTGATTTGCAATGTTGACATATTTGTCAATTAGTACTAATAATTTCAGTAAAGTGAAAAATTTGCACTTTTAAAGACGAACAAAGAACAGCATTCACAACCTATTTTACTTCTGTAATGTGACGAAACATGAAAGAAAAGAAAAACAAATGATGGTGGATTTTTGGTGGGCATGGTGATGTCAGCAGAAATGAAAAGTCGTTTCAGAGGCGGAAAAGCTATTCTGGCTGAAAGTTTATAAATATTTTTTTATTCTACATACATCATTCCTTTGACACTGCATACTGATATAACATACATAGTAAGAAAACAAACAGGGTCAATTCTGATTTAATGTTTCACATAGGCACCATATTGAATTTCTAGCATGAAACTGTAGAAATGTCCAAATGCTGAGAGGACACGTCCATCCACAGTCAGAATGATGGCTACAGCCCTGTGTGTGAGTGTGTGGAGATGAGGATGTATGCAGGGGCCATAGGAAGTAAGAGCCTCTCTTCACAACTCTTTCATTATTGTTACAATTACACTAGCTCTCTTCAGTGCCCACACTCTTCCCTCTTTATAATGTTTGCTCAGGCTGCAATTGGGAAATGAGGTGGAAAACGATTTGTGTGTGTGTGGCTATAACAGTGGGAGTGAGTGTGTGTGTCCCGGCCATTGATACTACAAGTTAAAAAGAGAGTCTGGAGATGGCAAGCGCAAAACACAAGAATGTTACCCTCGTGGGGGTCCATCTCTCTCTTTCGCTCTCTCGCTCTCTCCCTTCCCACCCTGTGGGTGTCACAGCCATACTCTAACCCCAGTACAGCACCGCCCAGATCATTATAGACTCTGATCTGGAGTCAGTGAAAGGGGGAATTAGCTTGGAACACAATCCCAGCAACCTTTGTGACCCTGGCACAAAGCCAGAGCCGTTGGGGGTCCCAGCAGCCTAAACCACTCCATATGTCCGGACAAAACTGTTACAATGGCCAACACAAAGGAAACACAGTGGGAGGGACAGACTTTCTGCGTGTGTGTCTCACAGGAATTATTTAATGTTCTGCTCGTGTATTTGATCCTAGCTCACCTCTGGGAGATTAACTGCTGGCATTATGAACATATATATATATATAAACAAAGTTATAGTGACATCATAATGAACATGCGACATCTCATGACTTATTATATTGTGGCCATGCTATAATAATTTGTTCAATCAATTTTGTTATTGTGGCCGTCGTGTATTAATGTATTCCCTCGTCTTAATAGTTAAATCTAATATAAAATATGGGGTTCCATAAATATGTAATAATACATTTTAAACATTGTCACATGATATAACATTACGTATTTAATGCACTTATCATCACTTATCATTAATTATCTACTGTTTATTATTATATTAATTTTAAATTAAATTAGCTTTGTTTAACACTTAGCAGTTTAATTACATTTTGAGTAAACAGAAGAAATTAAAAAAATAACCAAACACACACAAACACACAAAATATTTTAAACACAGAATATTACTTATGTTTAAGTATGTTGTAGTATTGCATAGATAAAATCGGCATACTGTGCACAGTATGCATACTGCATATGTTACTATACTAAAATAACAGTATTATTATTATATTATATTATTAGTAGTAGTAGTATTACACAGTAAAAATATCCTGTTTAATTTACAGCAAAAAAACCTGACAGCTTTAAAATTCTAGTGAAATTCACTATAAAAAATATGGTGACAATTTTTCAGGTATTATGGGATGGAATGGGGTATTGGTGCCTGTATATTTGACAACTTACAACCATATATGAAATGTGCAATGAAGTAGTGATAAAATGTTAATGTAGCAAACAAATTGAACTACCAAAATTAACCTTAAATTGTACTGATAGCCACCATTATAATACAGAAGGTACAATATAAAATAACACGAATCAGAATTCATCATAATTGGCCTGTCCATAAAACATGGCCAAGGTGCATAGGGTCATACACACAAATACAAAACACCAATAAGGTAACACACAAACAATGGAATAAATGTTAACTAAATATGAGAAAACATACACAAAACACCCCACATTACTGAAACAAAAATAAGACAAAAACATACCTATAAAACATAATCATATGTGATGCCACACAGGGACTTCTGGGAATGTCCTCTTACTGTTTTCCCCAGTAAATTCTATGAGAATGTATGGATGATTTTACTTCCAAAGGCCATTTATCTTACAGTATTTTTCAGTAAAATATATAATGCCATGTCAAATAATACCTCACAGGTTACTGCAGCTTATTAAAGCATCAAAAACATTAATATCAATGGTCCATTGAATGAAACCAAAGAGTTACCATGGTAATTTAGTCTCTTTGTCATTGATTAGCTCCTGCAGGATCGAAATGGGCTTCTCCACGTAAGACTGTCTTATGTCTCAGTGTATAAATAGTGCATCAACTTATACCCTTAATATTATATCTGCTTCATAATTAGGCCAATAGAGCAGTCCCTGTTTACCCTTTCCTCTTCCATTTCTCTCTCGCTTTCTCTCGTCTCTCCTCTTCAATCCTTTCTTATTAGAAGGCCCCCAGCTGTGCGTCGGATAGGATCAGAGGCAGCCTCTATTAGCCTGGTCCATTTGTTGAGCGATTGAATCGCTCTCATCCCTCTTCTCTAGTATGGCCTCTAACCCTCTCTCTCTACCATAGCCTGCCAGAACGGCCTTTCAGTGCTCAAAACACAATGGAGCCTGATAGAGGCCGCCTCCCTGAGGCAAGGTGACTGTATGTGTGTGTGTGTGTGTGAGAGAGAGAGAGAGAGAAAGAGAGAGAGAGAGAGATGAGACATATGATTCCATGACTACTGTTTTATTTCGAGATACCATGCAGAAGTGGGTTTCTAGATGGTTGCCCCGAGCTGTTGTTCACTTACTATCCAGCAGGTGGCATACTTGCACAAGCACAGAGGCCAAAGCACCCTTCCCCCACTTTCTGTGTCCATTCTATCACACTTTTTGAGTCCTACGGGCACCACAAGTATCCTCATCTCCAGGCTATCTACTCTTCAGAAGTCGTACCTTTACCGTAGATCCTGATGGGCATCGCTCTCTCTTGCAGTCTTTCGATCTTTCTACTCCAGTGCATGAAGTGGCATTCAAAAGCTTTAAGAGAAGCACACCTGTTTCTAAACTATTGAAGAAACATGATTTTACAGCACTGTGCCGTCAACGTCAGTTGTAAATTCGAACGTCGGTGGGTGTGTTTGTGCTGCCGAGATGTTTCTCATTTACCCGAGGAGACTTCAAGATGGTTTGAAGACTTCAGGGAAACGAGATTGTCTTTACTTTGCCCCACCCTAACCCATATTCACATCCTCATATTCTGACCTGCACTCAAGAGAAATGTCTCTGCTTGAGGAGGCATGGCAGTGAGGTGTTCTGCATGGTTGCATCTGAATGTCTCTTTTTTCCAGTTTTGAGGGGCTCACTTGACCGCCCCTTTTTGGCACACTGAGAGATGTAGGAGAGAGGTTAGAGAGCTGCTTAAAGCTGTCAGTCACACGCTCGCTGACTCCATTGGGGCCTATTGGAAGTCAACCAAACTACTTCCTGAACTGCTCAATGCATGACCTTATAAAACAGTGGTGGGTTGCAACTTAAAAATGAACCTGTTCAGATATTGCCATGGATTATCAGTGCTAAATGCAAATAATGAAATGCCACTGACTTAAATTGGTGATGTAGTAGTGCGTAGTTAGGATAGAAAAGTAAGCAAATCAATATTTAAAATAAAGGTTCCCGTATTCCAACACTTCCGTTCTATATCTTATGTTGTTGACGTTAAAGGTCATGCTTCAAATTAAGCTCAATTTAAGCTAAAACATAAAAATATAAGGTAAACAGTTTTTTAAAATACGTTAAATAGGTTCAATTGCCATGAGGATAAACATAGTTTGTGCCCCAGTGTGTTTTCCCCCAGTCAGTTATTAATAGAATAATAATAATACACTATGTATAATTTAATATTTAATCAAATTAAAATTAATAATAGTACAATTATGAATGCTAAAATATTAATAATTTACTGGAATGACATTGGGACACAATCTATGTTTGTCCACAAATTATTATAATTATAATAATATAAATTAATAATAATTATTGATGATAATAATAACAATAATAACAATAAAGTTGCATTTTTAAGGCCATTTTTATTTACTTTTGAACTCTAACCAATGGACCATTTTTACATTTCTATAGTTCTCAGAGGTGACCCCCCCCCCCCCAAAAAAAATATATATTAGACAATATAGAGTTTCTAAGACTTTCCAAAGAAGAAAAACTAATATTGAAAAATTGAGAGAAAAAGAGAGAAAGATGTCAAATTTGCTGTCACTCCCTCAGTCGTTTTATTATGCAGCAGCATTAACACATTTTCTGTAATTTAATGTCAACGTAATATGACACTAAATATAGTGTAATACGTGTACATTAATTTTTTAATTGAAAATACAAAAAAAAGATTTATGTAACCTGATTATTGTTATATAATATTATATATTATTATATACAGAATTATGATAACTGTGGAAACACTTCACAGTCTATGTGAACGGTCTATTAGTCATTTATGTAAAATAGCACTTCTCTTTCTTTTTCTTTTTGTATTTCAGAAAATACAAATGGACAATGCTGTTTGATTCAAAACTAAAA